TTTATATCATGATGTTGAAAGAAAAATCTTCATCAGGGTCCAGCCCAAGCTGGGAATAAACAAAATGGAGACTGCTTTAAAAAGAAGGTTGGAGTTTATTGAAAAGCAGAACCACAAGACATGAGGCTCTGGAGCAGCTGAACACATGTTGCTGGGACTTTTTTTGCTTACAGGAGCTGGGGTGGGCGCGGCCTCCTCATGAAGTAACCGATGGGCCGGCAGTTTGACACACCTGTCTTAAGTGATACCTAAGCTCCGGGGAAAGAAGCAATATGAGGGAAAAGTTTTCCGCAATGGGAAAATGAACCAACAATATGGTCTGCAGCATAGAGGTAAAATATCATATTTGTTCCACTTTCAGATAAACTGGTATCAAAATAGGGGGGAATTACTTTGCTCTTGAATACCTACAACGTTAAGTGAAAATTGGGATCCAGAGCCAAGTCTGAGCTGATGCAAACATCTGGTACAGCTGATTATGAATCACTTGCCTCCCCCCCCCAGATGCCCATGAGCAAAAATACTGCAAAAACACTAGGCAAAACACGAGGCAAAAATCCTAACCCTTATAAAAATAATAAACTATTTCTAAATAAAACATCAATTCTTAGATTCTATAGAATTTACACAGCCACAGCAAGTTAATAAATATGTTTCTTCATGGAAAATTATATAAAAGGTCAACTCTTTTGATGAAGCAGCATATGCAATCAAGTTTTCCTTCTGCTTCACATGCATTTTACCATCAGCATGGGAAAAACAGTCAGTGATAAACTTCTATTTATCAGCCTCAAAATAAGCAGAGGAAAAATTACAAGCAATAAATATCTTCTAGCATTTGAAGGTCAACATATCTACTAAATGGACAACAGCAAGCCAGAACACTTCCACTTTTTTGAATAAATAAACTAGTTTCCATTTCCTATCTGTACAGTAAACCATTTTCATTTTAAAAAAGTATTTTTAGTTGGTTGTGAGAAATTTGGATACTTGATTGTTAAACTGCTTGTAGTACTATAGATATTCTGATTGTATATTATACAACTCACCTGCATGTATAATGTCCTAATGTTATCAGATTATATTACTACCCATGCGCACCTTTTATTTTCTTACTTTACTCCAATGTCAGTGAAAAGCAGTTTTATAAAAAAAAAATCTAAATTTGCTATCCAAATTGCTATTCCTCTAAGAACCACAGAATATTTTTTTCTGAGGCAGAAGCATTCATTTATAATAACAAAAGCTTTTACACAACTTCAGTCACATATCAGACTAGATCTGTATTTCTGATAAACAGCATATCACAGTAGGAAAATGGCACTACTGTCACAGTTAGTGAGTCTTGAAGGAGAATAATAAAATAAAAATATTAAGTAGTACTGATATTTTTTCAGGGCCATCCAGTTTTTACTTCATTTTACTTCATTTACTACCTTGGTTTACCTTCTTATTCTCAGAACCTAGATCAGGGGTCCCCAATCCCCAGGCCACAGGCCACTACTGGGCATAAGCCATTCGAAACTGGGTTGCAGAAGTGGCAGACATGCACGCAAGCATGAGCATCGCCACTTGCACAATCAGTGGGTAAGTATATGCATGTGTGCGTTCAATTTACGCATGCCTGCTGCGCACACAAAAGGAGCTGCATGCATGTGCACACATATTTGATAATCCTTTCAGAAAGATTGGAGCCAGAAAGCTTGGAGCTGATGGGATTTGAAAGACAAAGATCCCTAGGGGAGCAGGACATGACCTTTAGGACATAATAGGATTAACCCACCACCATCAGAATACCAAAAGGACATGCTCAAAAGCTCAGGTCAAAGTTTATGCCATAGGAACAGGAACAACTCCAAACACAAAAGCCCAAGAAGGTATAAAAACCCACTACTCTCAGCGCCATGTATTCAGCTGCTCCAGAACCACATGCTGCTGTGGTTCTGCTCTTCAATAAACTAGAACCTTCTTTCTAACACATTCTCCATTTTGTTTATTCCCGGCATGGACTGGACCCCTGATGAAGATTTTTCTTTCAACAAGACCATCCTAGCGTATTCCTGATTTCAGACCTTAAGCTGCACATTCAATAGCCATGCACATTCAATTTAAGCAGCTGGACTAGCTTAAATCAGTGTGAGCACACCTATTTCAAGATTATGATATAGACTCATCCTTTTCTTATATTCAACTCAGATTAATTTACTGTCTTGGCAAATGGTAGTGTAAAGTCTCTTACTTGAACTTGAGATACCATATCAATCTAATCAGATAACCCAAGTGGAGACTTCTTGATCAAGCAGCACTTTATTTGATCAAATTAAGCAGCTGGGTGGCCAACGATCTGGAACTCTGGCAGGGTTACATCCAGAAGTGCCACGCATTAGAAAATTGGTAGCATTGCTTTATAAACTTTGTTAGCCAATGAAAATCAGACAACAGAGCCATTACATCATAAGAAAGACATCAATCATTCCCGTACACTCCCTTATTCCCGCCTTCAGTATATCCCATCCATGTACATTTCCCAAGCTTGCTTGAAATTTCTCTGGTGCAAAAGCTGATTACAAAAAGCAAGACAGCAACAGTTAGACTAAACAATTTCCCTTTGTTCCAGAACCCTTCAGTAGCATGTCACTAACCAAATCTTGACTCAGAAATTAAGTCAGTCAGGCCAAATTCTGATTTACAGAGAACACCGTAATGGAACACAAGTTTTATATGCTAAATATTTATTTATTTATTAATCAAATAGCAAACCCCCCAAACCACACAAAAGGAAGAAACCAGTAGTAAGCCATATTGTTTTAAGAATAGTTTATTTTTTTAAGATGTTCTATGGGTGTGTATTTTTTGAAAGTAAAGACTTCAGCTGTACCTTGTATTTTTTCCTAATCATGAAATTATTGAAATCTGGGAAACAATTACAATGTATTCTATTTATCAGTACTAATTAATAGGGGATTTTTTAATGTTAGAAAAGCAATCTAATTTCTCAGTCAAAACAATGAATTGAGAAGCCATAAATTCCATACTCAGTGATAATTATATCAGAATTATATCATCAGTATTATATCATATTTCACAGGGTTATGAACATATATACAGACATACCTTGTTTCACTTTATTGCACTTTGCAGGTATTGCATTTTTTATTTTTTTTTACAAAACCCTCCACCTGCAAAAAGCTTATGACTGGTTGAAGTTTCAAATGATTAACATTTTTTAACAATAGAGTACTTTTAATTAAGGTCAGCACATTTTAGACATACTATTGCACACTTAATAGACTAAATCCAGTGTAAACCTAACTGGAAATAAAAAAAAGTGATTGTTTTATTGTAATATTCACTACTTATTGCACTGGTAATAAAACAAACCACTAATATCTCTTGAGGTAGGCCTGTATGTGTTAAATTTTAAACAGTAAAACGAAGAGTTATATAAACTAGCAAGCATCAATATCATGTTTTAAAATAAGAGAAAATAAAAACTAACATATTCTAGCTCTATGGTCTATTTCCTCTCAGAATACTATACAGGTAGTCCTCAACTTACAACAATTTGTTTAGAGACTATCCAAAGTTACAACAGCACTGAAAAATGTGACTTACGATGATTTTTCAGTTACAACCTTTGCAGCATCCCCATAATTGTGTGATCACAATTCAGATGCTTGGCAACCATTTCATACTTATGACCGTTGCTGTGACCCAAGATCATGTGATCCCCTTTTGTGATCTTCTGACAAGCAAAGTCAATGGCTCAATTTTGGGCTCAAATATGGTCTTAAGTCGAGGACTACCTGTACTCTCCTTTTATGTTTCAGTTTAAAGAGTGTTTCCTAAACGGGATTGGGAGGCAAGATCGAGACAGGCTCGAATGGCCCATTTAGGCATATACACTTGCTTACGTGAAGTTATATTGCTATAGCTATGATGGTTTGTAGGACTGGTAACCTTGTTAATTCTAGGATGTATTTTAATGCCTTGCTTACTCCCTTGTCTTATAGCCATGATTCGGAGGATCTCAGAAAGTACAGCCCAATTAACTGCAAAACATGAAACAATGTTAGCCTTATGGGAATATAAAATAGTACCTTCAAGAGATCCTGAATCAGAGGTAGAATAATGGAAGTTTAAGCTGGAAAACTTCCAAAGGGGGGAGTAAAGTGGAATGAAATAGAATAACATAGAATAAAAATGAATAAAGTATAATAATAATGATAATGAAAAAAATCACTAAAAGCAAAATGATGTGTCTGCATAATTCCTGAAGAAAGCTGTGTTGGCAAAGCTGTGTTAACTGACCTAATGCATATTGAGAAACATTGTATAAGTAAAACTGCCATCATTGTCTTCCCATGAGAAATGAACCTAACATGTGAGAAACTAACTGCATAATATACAATGTAGATTCCATATACAATGTAAGATTCCATGAATACTCCCTTTGTTCCTTAGAAAGGGGAAGCTATAAAGATTGGAACTGCCCCCCCCTTCAGAATTGCCTATCTCCTAATTGCTTCTGAACCTTTGCGCAAATAAACCTCTGTTTCAGCCTTTGGAATTCCTAAAAGTCCTTTTACTTTTTCCACAAGAATATGAATTAGTCCTTGTGTGTCCAACCATACTTGGCCGATAAAGAATTCTAATTCTGAATTATGTATGGATTATGGGAGTTGACACAAGGGCTCGTTTATTTGGAGGAGGCAGCACCCCCAACTCAAAAACATGCCGCGTCGTGCCGGTCACCATCCTGAATTTAAAAAAAAAAAAAAAATGAGCTGAAAACCTCTCCGAAATTACCCGGCATACCCGCCGGCGGGAGTTTAAAACCGCTCTAATCGGCGAAAGGCGACAGCGCATGCGCCCAAAGCAAACGCTGAAACATTCCCCTCCTCCCAACTCAACTGGAAACGATCACACCCGCTATTCGTCGGTTTGCGCGTGCGCCACTGCCCAATCAACACGGCGAGGGGGGGGTCTGCGTTCCTGACCTGAAGCCGCTTCCAAACGGAGAATGAGGAGAGGAAGGTGGGAGGAGAGCATCTTTCAGGCGAGACCTGCCTGAAGCGCGAGACCCGCGCGAGCAGCAGTTATGACGCAGTCCGTAGTAGTCCAGGGTGAGCGTGCACGTAATTCGCAGTCCCTCTTAGTCTTTTTTCTTTTTTTCCTCCTCCGTACTGCTCCATGACAGCTGCCTCCTTCCACTTTTTTGTTTGTTTGTTTGTTTCCCTCTCTCAATACAGTGGGTCAATGCGGAAACCAAATAGGATGCCGCTTCTGGGATCTGGCGTTACGCGAACACGCAACTATTAACAAGGTAACAAGCCCCACCTCTTAGTATGAGCGCATGCGCAGTTATGCTGTTCGAAGGTTACTTATTCACCTGTTTCCCTTCCCGTTGTTTAAAATGTCAAAAAAGGAGGGGGTGACTTTACTTCCTTGTTTTGCCATTGTGGTCCATCCGCATAAGACCATAAGGCCGAATGGGAACGCAGCAACGAAGATCCCCCCTCCTTTGTGGCGAGGTGGTTGCCTCCACAGCCGTCATTTATGCCGCCACGGTGAGGCGCTGCAGCCCGTCTGTTCCGGGTAGTTCCGGCGACTGGTTACTGAGATTAAGGTCCCGCTCGGCGTTCTGCTGTCATGGCTACGATTCTAGTGACGTTCTGGAGTTCTCCGACAAACCGTCACATGGAATGTGATTCTGCTAGAGTCCATCGACTCTTTTTTTATTTTAAGAGCCGGCTGGAATCCTCCTTTTTTGAGTAACACGGCTTCGCGCGGACACGCCGCCTCAGTTATTGATGAATTGTGTACCGGGGGTTGGACTAGATGACCTCCAAGGTCCCTTCCAACTTTATTATTATTATTAAGTAGTTTTGGCTTCTGGCGACCAGGTGTTCTCCTTGATTGTCTCTCTAACCTGATCCTTCAAGTCTCCCGATGGTGCATTCATCCCTGCTGTAACCGAGTCCCTCCACCTCGCTGCTGGTCGCCCTCTTCTCTTTCCTTCCCCCTTTCTCATCCTTTATTGGAGAATGAGGTCTTCACATTGGGAGTAGGAATAATTTGAACCTTGATTGTGTGTGCCTCAAATAAGAACTCTGGACTCTTCTGTGAGCCATCACTATGTTGTATTGTGTGACCACAGTGTTCTGAGGCGGAATGGGACAATTCACCAAAGCCAACTCGCCGTAAGACAACTCACTGTGGCCAGCTTGCCACAGGACAACTTGTTGCAGGATAATTCAACAATTACCATGTAATTATTTAAAATACAGGTAGTCTTCAGCTTACGACCACAGTTGAGCCCGATTTTTTTGTTGTTAAGTGAGAATTTGTTAAGCAAATTTTGCTCCATTTCTTGCCACAGTTGTTAAGTGAATCGCTGCGGTTGATAAGTTAATAATCTGGTTGTTAAGTGAATCTGGTTTCCCCATTGACTTTGCTTGACAGAAAGTTGCAAACAGTGATTTATTTATTTATTTATTTATTTATTTATGAGACTTCTATACCGCTTTAAGTGCAAGCACTCTCTAAGCGGTGTACACCAGTAAGCAATGTGTATATATATATATATATATATATATATATATATATATATATATATAAATAGCCCCCAACAATCTGGGTCCTCATTTTACCTACCTCGGGAGGATGGAAGGGCTGGTCAACCTTGAGCCAGTGAGATTTGACCTGCTGACCTGCTGAACACAGTCAGCTAAAGTGGCCTGCAGTACTACACTCTAACTGCTGCGCCACCTCGGCTCACATGATCCCAGGGTGCCGCAATGGTCATAAGTATGAATCAGTTGCCAAACATATGAGTTTTGATCACGGGGATGCTGCACAGGTTGTAACTGAAAAACGATCATAAGTCACTGTTCTTGGTGCTGTTGTAATTGAGCAGTCACTAAATGAACTGTTGAAAGTCAAGGATTACCTGTAGTTTAAAAAAATATTTTAATTTTTGTCATTCACATTTCATTTTGTCCCTCCTTTGGCATTCTTTTTTTAATGACTCTATTCCACTGTTTCTTTGATATTTGTAACTTGTCCCATGGGCAAGTTGGCTGCAGCGAATTGGCTATGGTGAGTTGTCGTAGACCCATTCTCAGGAGTCTTCTCCAAACCAAAGTTCAAAATACACACTTCTTTGCCCCATGCTATTTACCAAAAACAAGATATACACATTACAATTTTCTTGGTGATGCTTTTTTGCTGCCTACAATGGAAAGCTGGAGAAACCATCCACAAATGGGAACAAGAAGTCTAATCAGGTTCCATTGTATCTGATTTGAAGATCTGTGGGCGGAGGGGAGGCTGAACTTACATAAATTAAAGGATAGGTTAACTCTTCCAAGTATATGTGACAGTATGAACTAAATCTAAAATCAGAAAAAAATGTTAAAATGTATAGCAAGCCTAGCCACCATAGAATAAGGATGTTTCACTGAGAGCAGACAACTAAATTTCATTTTTGATGTGTTCTGTTGTGTCCACGGTAAAAAAAAATGACAAGGTTATCTTATCTAAGTGAGCTGTAATTCAAAAAATTACAGCTTGTATACTTTTAACATTTTTTAAAAAAACAAATTCCTCATTAATTTTTTTTAATTAACAGTATTATAACATCCCAGATTTGTTGGGATATTACAGTTGTGTTATTTATGTTTCTGAATAGTACTGCTAATTTGTCCTTTCTAATTTCTTCACACAGTTATTAACATGAATTTTACTGTAAGATTTTGAGTGACTAGCGTTCAGAAGGTCTTGAGCCTGCTTACAAACTTACCTATCAAAAAATCCAAAGCCATCTTGCAGAATTGTTGTTGAAATAACTTAGAGAATATATCTGTACAAGAAAACAAGATAAACGCATTATGTATGCTTTGAATTACAGCAATGGTTTTTGAAATACAATAGAGAGTATAATCTCAAAAAGTTATTTTTAAATATTTGTGCTATGGTTTATAGCACAGGTCCCAAGTTCAGTTTTTACTTAAAATATTTTTTATTATTTTAGAAAGGACTTTATGATGAAGCATTAAGCAGTTTCTTTAGAAATGTGGACACTAGGTAAGTTTCTTTGGGAAGTAATACGTTACTTGAGACACTTGGTTTTAAAACTGTTCTGTATATGTTGAGAGATTCTTTTGTATCAGGTTTTGCATTGCTGAAAGTTAGCATTTTCTTCTATTTTATGAAAGATAAAGTTCTGGCGTTAATGGTATGACTTTATCGTTCACCATATGTCATTGATGCTGTGTAAGTAATTTGCTTTGTTACAATCCTGTATGTGAGCAATTCAGTGGGATTTACTTAAGCGAGCCTAGAATTGAAGCTTGTACCTCTTTATTTTTGGATTAGTGAGCAGATTGTGTAGTGATGCTAATATCAATGGGTGTGGCAGAATTAGAATAAGTTTATTTGTAAACCACCCAGAATCACTTAGATGAGATGTGTGGTATACAAATTGGGTTAATTAATTAAATGTTACACCACTGTCATGATTTAACTTACTCTGACTGGGCCATAATTCTTGGTATTCATTGTTTTAGAATAATATCATAGTTCCATTTTTCAGTCTCTGAACTATTAGGTCATAAGTTGGCAGCAAAGATTTGGGATATTAACTGTTCATCTAAATTTTTGTAGCTCTGATTTTATTTGTTATCCTCCATAGTCTGAACAAAAAGCTATTTCCAAGCCATGGCTCCATTGCCTGCACAGTATAGTTATATCTTTCTGGCTTGCTAATATAGTGGACTTGCTATAACTTCATCATTTTATCAAGTTGCACTGAAAAAAAACCTCTTATCTGTCTTGCTTTTTATCTTCATGATAGTAGGAAAATAGTACTGATAACATTATAGTCTTCCAATGTTATCTATTTGAAATCCTGCAAAAAGTTACATATGCCAAACCTCTTTTTTTCTTTTTTTAGTATTTATATTTCTCCTGTTTCTTTATTTCATATTAGGAAAATATTTTTCAGTTTTTATCTGTCAGTGTTTTTCTTCTATAAAATGAGAAAGTGTGATGTCACCTGCAAAGACTGGCTGATCTTTATCTATGATTATAACTAACTGACTTCTGATCTTTCTAGAACAGATGGTGACAGTGCTGACATTTCCAGAGGAAAAATCTGTTCCTTAAAAGCACGTGTAAGAGGAGAAAATATTTAATTTAACCCTTTCTTTTGCTTTGTAGATTATAAAATGTTCCTAACTTGGAAAGTTTTATTATCAAACATATTTACTCTGTAACTATTGAAATAATATTTTTTTTCAATAAAAAGTTTTTTATTTTCCATTTATTCATACAAAATACAATTCAATTCACAAGATAAAATAAATTCCTAACCATTGGTACCGCCTGCCCATTCCGCCCAGGCCGCGTCCACCCTCTCTAATCCTTCCCTACTTCCCTCCTCTTTCTCTCCTCCCCTCCTACTCTCTTCCCCTCCCCTTCTCCTCTAACCATCCTACTTCCTCCCTACACCTTCCTCCCCTCTCATCCCTCTCAAACACATGAACGCAGCATAGGGGAAATGCCCAAGCGGCACCTCTCTATAAACTACCATGACTATATTATCATTACCCACCCACCCTCAACCCTCCCCCCCTCGCTTCCCAGAGCAGAGTACAGGGTTATTAATAAGAAAGTTAACAATAATAAAAAAGGAAAAGAAAAAGAAAAAAGAAAAGAAAGAGAAGAAAAAAAGAAATAATATTTATGTGATTGGTTAAATGAGTGAGATCTTTGTGCCATTCAGCTTTGCTTTGTAAAGCTCTATAATATTATCTGCTCATATTTTGCCCCTGTTTTCAAATAGATAAGATAGGGCATGCAATGGTGTATAGTCTCCTTGAAAAGTGAACTATTAGAAGGAATTTTACCAGGGCTTTTTTTGTCATAGAATGCTCAGAACGGAGTTCCGGCACCTTTTTTTTTTTTAAACAAAAAAACCACTGAATTTTACTATGCAAGTTATAACACTGTCACATCATGTCAGATATAATTTATTTATCACACATATAGTACATCACACAGTGTAGGATTAGCAATAAAGTAGTTAATTTAGACCAGCGGTTCTCAACCTGTGGGTCACGACCCCATTTGGGGTTGAACGACCATTTCACGGGGGTCGCCAAACAATGCGATCCGCCATTTTTTCTCAGCCAGCGCAGGGGGCAGCGCAGGGGGGGCGGCACGCATGCGTGCCACACGGGGCAGCGCAGGGGGCGGTGCCGCGCATGCGTGCCGTGCAGGGGGGGCACCGTGCATGCGTGCCGCGCAGGGGGCGGCCCCGCGCATGTGTGCCGGTCTAAAAAGATTGAGAACCACTGATTTAGACATTAATATTTAAATATTTAACAGTATATATCTACTACAGTTTCAAAAACAAATTTTGTTTAATAAATTTATTGTGAGTATGAATAGGAAATTAAAAAAATGAAAATAAGTACACTTTTGGAATAGGATTACACAGAAAAATCTGCCTGCACAGATGCCTCTCTTAATGAAAAATGTCTTTATGGTTGTTGGCTAACTTTTCCCTTTTTATATTCAGTTGTCAGAAAGGGTTGATATATAGTATTAAGAGTCATTATTTTTCCTGAGCATTCTTGCTGCAGAAGTATTCTTGGCGTGAATATCATTATTAAAACTACAAAGTTTAATCAGAGATACTTCAAAAAAACTCATGCTGGAGCTTAGAAAATATGCTTATTGAGACAAATCACATTGATAAATCCAATGAACTAAGACATCATAGCAAGTATTTAGTAAAAGCATATCTTTTCAGTCTAAAAGTTACATTTATTGTTTTGTATTTAAATATTTGTGTATATTTGATCTTCGAGCTATTTTTAATAATGATAATTGAAATTAAATGTTCATTTTATATGAGAATTTAGGGTATATTTTTCTGGAGTCAGCTTTTTCAAAATTAAAAATGTATGTGAAAATTAAACAAAGCATGTCTACTTTATTTTTGTGTCCTGTTTTTAAAGGTATGCTGAGTAAATTATTTTTATTCTGCTCCCTCAGGCTCTACTTATTGACATGGAAGAGGGTGTAGTGAATGAAATACTTCAGGGGCCATTGAGAGAGGTATTTGATAGCAAACAGCTGATCACAGATGTTTCTGGCTCAGGGAACAATTGGTAAGAATAAATTCAGCTTCATAAAAATCTTCAACCAGATTCTCTTTGAAAAACTTCATATACAATAGAAATTTTAAGAACTCTTTTTTTTTCTATCTTTTGCACTTACTGCAATTCCTGAAAGGATATTAAGATGACTGTTTAAATCCCAAAATTATCATTGTTTTGCCAAATATCTCATATCTCCTGTTTTCATGCTTCCATAAATAGATATTTAATTTTTTTGCATATAATTGCATTGATCTATGCCTTGTACACTTTGTATCCTGATTTTCAGGATATAAACATTTATATGATGGCTTAGATTTATTCCATTAGGACAGTTGGTCATAAATACCCCTTGAGGAAACTGTCCAGATGACAATCTGTTTGCCTGCCTTTTGAAATAACTCTCTTAGGACAGTTGGTAATAGATAGTTTTGTGGGGGGGGGGGAGGAATCCAGCTGGTCCAAATTCTTTTTATCAGGCACATGCTCATCTGTTCCTAACTGCTGCTGCTTCATTTCATTTCATTCATCTAAGACAGTGGTTCTCAATCTTTCTAATGCCGTGACCCCATAATACAGTTCCCCATGTTGTGGTGACCCCCAAGTGGGTGTGGCCACCAATAAGAGGGAGTAGGACAGCTAGGGAAAAGGGAAAAAAATGGCGGACAGCATGGTTTGGCGACCCCCATGAAATGGTCATTTGACCCCAAATGGGGTCCCGACCCACAGGTTGAGAACCACTGATCTAAGAACAAACTGGAGCAGCTAACCAAAGAGAAGAGTTAAACCTTTAAGCCCCCCCCCCAAACCCAACTTCATACAAATGCTCTTAAGAGAGATTTCCAATTACATAGAAGGTGTAATTTGACTTATGACCACAATCATCTTAAATTGCATGTGAAGACTGGAACCATGTAGATGACGAGTGGTTTATTGGTATCAGTTTAATCATTTCGTGCTGGTTGTTTTTTTTTTAATTTTCAAATATATTTTTGACTTTAAACAGACAAAACACTTTGCCCTTTCTATCTATGTCGGGTAGGCTACCTTGGCTCTTTTATGACTCGTGGACTTCAACTCCCAGAATTCCTGAGCCAGCGATGCTGGCTAAGGAATTCTGGGAGTTGAAGTCCACGAGTCATAAAAGAGCCAAGGTAACCTACCCCTGGTCTATGTCAACCAGCTTTTGACTTTGCTAGCTGTGGACTGGGAAACGCAAACCAGCGGGACCAAAAGAGGAAGAAGGGGCTAAGAGGCCTGCTTCCATTTATCATGTTGCTTGTGCTTAAATCGGACACTAATACATATGAGCTCAAAAGATGGCGTGTTAATATTACCACTGAAATAGAAGGGTAGCATATTAAAAAATCTCCTATTTTCAGGGCTGTGGGTCACAGTGTGTATGGATGTCAGTACCAAGAGCATATTATTGAAAAATTGAGGAAAACTGCAGAACACTGTGACTGTCTGCAATGCTTCTTTGTTATTCATTCCATGGGAGGGGGTAAGTATTGCTCTAGTCCCAGAGATATAGCCATATACTCTTACATCCAATAAGAAATTTCCATTTGGTTGGAAATTGGAAAGAAATTTATGACTTCTGAGAGTTGAATACAACATCACAGTTGTTTTTCTATTTGCTATGAGGCAACATTTTTTCATTTCTTTCCATTTCCACCTTGCTGGTCATGTTATAGGAAGTGCTGTTGCATTGGGCAAAGTATGCCAATTGATGTTTACAAAAATTCTGTAAAAAAAAGTTCACTACACTGAAAACATGTTTAAAATAAAGGAGATATCTTGCAATGTTTCATTGGCCTCAAAAGATTATATTCATTAAAATTATTAGTGGATGGAATTTTTTTAAATTACATTTTTCTTTATGTTTATATACTTTACAAAAATCATGTTGCTGTTACGTTACTTTTGAGTTCTTTGATATATATGAGAGTTCTTGCATTTCATAATGCCCTTGAGCACAAGAAAAGTTCTGAGGTACAATATTTCGGGTCAAAATCAATGCTTCTCCACTTTCTGTTTATGCATAATTAGAGAACTTCAAGAAGGGAAAATGTTTGTCTATTTCATGTGCAACAAAACGTGAGATATGGCTTTATCCCCTGCTTAGTATTAAAATCCCTACATGAGGAGAATCTGTCATTGTATGTTAGCCTATAATGAAACAATTCATGAATACTTAGGTAATTAATTGTGTTCCTCTGCTTTTCTCTAATGCTGGGCTTTTCAAGTTATCTTCCACAGAACCCTAGAAAATTTAAATGGGTTCTCTAAGAAAATAAGGGCCAAAAAAAGATTCACTCGAACACAGACAATTTTTTAGCAGTAGAGCTTTGCCTCTCAACATGGGAATCCTGCAAAAAAAAAAAAAATTAAATGTAACAGGTTTCATAGCCTGAAAAAGTTTGAAAAATCCTGCAGTAATGTATTTTCAGGCTGTATCTTACAGAGAATACTCTGCAACACAGCATTTTACGGACGCATCCTCAGTCACATATGTTAGTTCCTGTATGATTTAGCTTAGGAAACATTGATTTCCTGCCCAGTATACTGAGCCCCAAAAAATATTTGGCATCTTGCACATTATTATTCTTTCTGTGGCCTGAAACTTTCAGGATTTTTTTTAAGGGCAGCCTTTAAATGAATGTGTAAATGTCAGCCTTACAAGGTAGACCAGGCTAAAAAATCAATGCCATATAGGTCAGGATTTCCCCTCTCCTTCACTTTCTCTTTGGGTGAACTAGGGAGGGGCTTGTCTAAGACATTTTCTCATATGTTTTCCAATAGATGTTGCCTGAGGTAAATTGTGTAAACGTTGATTTTGAATTTTTTTAAAAAGAATCTTATAATTTGTAAGACAGGTCATTTTGTCATTGTAGTTATTCCCTTATTTCTTCTAGGAACAGGATCTGGTCTTGGTACATTTTTACTAACAGTGCTCGAAGATGAATTTCCAGAAGTGTATAGATTTGTGACGTCAGTTTATCCATCTCGTGAGGATGATGTCATCACGTCCCCATATAACAGTGTGTTGGCTATGAAGGAACTCAGCGAACATGCCGACTGCGTGTTGCCCATTGAAAATGAGGTGAGCATTTGTCAGGGCCTGAGAATTGACCTTAGAAGGGCAGTTCTTTTCCATCTTTAATGTAAACTTTATAGTATAAATTCTGAACTGATAGCTTCTGCAGGCTTTTTCCATTGTGGAACTATTCTGAATGAAGACCAATGACAACTTTGCTTTTTAAAATGAGAAGAGACATTTTTGCACTTTTTAAATAAAAACAAAATATTTCCTTATTAAAGTAGTATATGACCAATGTAGGTATTGTGTAAATTTTTAGCCTTTCAAGTGTATGTATTGTATGTATATGCAAATATGTTTATTCTGCATTTAACAAGAATTAAATATTTTGCTTCGTTCTCTACATCAGAGCTCCCCAACCTATGGGCCACGGCCCACTACCAGGCCACAGCCTCTTGGCTACCGGGCCGCATGAGTGGCTGGCCAGTGCATGCACACATGCACGTGTGCTCATTCTCCCTTGTGCTGGCGCTAACTAATCTGCCATCCGCACATTGGCGCTAGCAGCCCCATTTGTGGAGCGCACATGCTCACAGTCCCATTCACACGCACGCAGCCACATTTGTGTGTGTGCGCACGCGCATATAAAGGTGCCTCCCCCTTCCTTTCCCACCAGGCTGCCAATCCAAAAAGGTTGGCAACCCCTGCTCTACATTGATTTAGCATGTGTTTGGATGTTAAATTTGTGAAGCATCTTGCAACTTTTTATTTTTTTAATTATTTTTTTTCTAATTAGTTTTAATAACAATGTTATTATTTATGTGTATATCCAATCTCTAGGAGCCCAAGGCAGTGTAAATTGCATTCTCCTACTCACATTTCCATTGTGAATTGGGCTGAGTGATATTGACAATCCACAATCGCTTATTGAATATCCATGATGGAGCATGCACCTGATCTTGGATTTTTCATCTTCCTAGTCCAACTCCTTAATTGAAAGCACTGTTTAGAATATCATAAGCTCTACCCATTTCATGGAGCTACTCTAAGACTAACTAACTCTGTCATTCTATTATAAAATCCAATCCATTATAGTTTCGCTTATTTTGTCTTTTAAGGTTTACATGTATTTGAGACAAATTAGAAACATAATAAGGCTGCATTCCTGCATTGTGATGAACTTCTTTGAAAATATCTTTCCTGCTCAATGGATTTAATTAGAACTATACAATAATTATTGACTCCACATAATATAAATGTTTTTCATTGTTTTTGTTTCTTCTTCCAAAGTCTTTATTTGACATAGTTAGTAAAATTAACCAGATGTCCAACTCTGGAAAGCTAGGATCAACTGTGAAACAAAGCAGCTTGGTGACTTCGAGTGCAGGTGGAATAAAACATCTTCAAGAAAAACCTTTTGATGCTATGAACAACATTGTGGCTAACTTACTATTGAATCTGACCAGGTGAATTTTTTAAGCCTTCTAATATATATATATTGTGCTTATGCTAAAATATGTTATCTTGTTGTAATAAAGGTTCTACATTTTTCCACTTGTTTATTTACAAGTAGCCATCTCCTTAAAAATGATGTGAGTTGATGTTTTTGTGAGAAGCTTAAAAGGCCAGATGCTGGGAGTGGCAGACAAAGTTGAAAGAAAATAAATAGTTGTAAAGTCCCTGAGCACACTTGCTAAACTGAAAGGGTAAAATTCATTATTTTGTTGAGGCCCTGTTTGGCTTTGAATGAGAAGTTTGAAACTTTGTTTCTGCAGCATTTATGTATAATTGATAAACATAGGTATAGTTTTGCAAAATATCAGCATATCCCTATGTAGAATTTCCATCAGTCTGGGTCTTGTAGTAAGGGCAAAGTCACAGGATTTTTTTCCCCTTTTCTACCCTTCTGAAATAAGTATTATGATTAGTCTGATTGTTAAACTTAGAGCTATTAAAGCACCACGTAACTTGGCAGAGAAGATCTGTAATCTCCTCCTCCAGCATGAAAAGGACTGTTTGATCTTATACAACTTTTGTATGTTATTTTCAGCTCTGCTAGATTTGAAGGCTCTCTTAATATGGATCTTAATGAAATCAGCATGAACTTGGTTCCCTTTCCTCGACTTCATTATCTAGTTTCCAGCTTGACTCCTCTTTATACTCTGGCTGATGTTAATGTGCCTTCTCGAAGGTGAGTATTTTTATCCAGCATTGTTCCTAGAAGGGTAACCTGTCAAAACTAGCATTATGCTTTGGAGACTCTCAGCTCTTGGCTATTTTTACATGTAAATGACAGCTGTATAACTTGAAAATGAATCTGCTTTGTAACGTCCATAGGTGAAAACAAATGAAATTTCTTTTGTTCAGTGATCAGCAGTCTAAATAAAATATTAAAAGGAAAAAAATGGTGCTTAGCCTTGCGTCAACTGTTTTCGTATTGAACGCATAAAATAGGTAGTAGAAAGTTTTATATCTGAGAAGGAGGTTCACATAGTGCTTATCCACTCCTCCTGAGTATTGTCACAGCAAGGATATAGTAACAACTATTCTAAATATCCTCATAGAAGCTACAATAAAAGAGCATGTGAATTTCTTTCTCCCTGGAGAATGTCATTTGCATAAAGGAGTATTGGGATCTTATGCCCTGCCTTTTTAGGAGGATGGAAGTCTGGGTAGGTTAGGACTTCTACCATACAGTCGATATACAGTTTGAACAGAACTGAATATATTTTTGGCAGTCTCCTTTTTGTATGCATAGGGTGTCAGAGAAGCTCCTTTGTGAATGGCATCTCGTTCTTAAAAAAGAATTAGTGTTAATTGTGAATCAATAAAGGTGCCTGTCAATAAATATTTTTTTAACTTTCTCCCATGGAATAGTTCTACGTAACACATCATAACATAACATAGAATAACTGAGTTGGAAGGGACCATGGAGATAATCTAGTCCAGCGGTTCTCAACCTGTGGGTCGGGACCCCATTTGGGGTTGAATGACCATTTCACGGGGGTCGCCAAACAACACAGTCCGCCATTTTTTTTCCCCTTTTCCTTAGCTGTGCTACTCCCTTTATTCTATTGGCTTTTGAAAGCCAATAGAATAGAGTCTCTTGAATAGAGTCTAATTCTATTGGCTTTCAAAAGCAATAGGAATTGTCCAGGCTGTCTCTGCCCTGCTGAGCCCGCCAAAAGTCCCATTCTGCTACGCTTCGGCCGGTGCAGGGGGCGGCACCACGCATGCGCGGCGCTCCCGGGCCCGGGCAGGGAAAGTCCTCGACTTACGACCCGTTGGGGGTCACGGTATTAAAAAGGTTGAGGACCACTGATCTAGTCCAACCCCCTGCTCAAGCAGGAGATCCTATACCATTTCAGACAAATGGCTGTCCAGTCTCTTCTTGGAAGCCTCCAGTGAAGCTATTCGGCTGGTTGATTGCTCTCACTATTAGGAAGTTTCTCTTTAGTTCTAGGTTGCTTCTCTCCTTGATTAGTTTCCATCCACTGGTTCTTGTCCTGCCTTCTGGTGCATAATGGGCAGCTTTGAAATGTAAGAATGTAAAATATGCAGAGGATTTCTTTTTCTGAACATTTTCTGTATGAGACGATATAGTACAAGAATATGTTCTTCTCTGAATCCTGCTTGCTCACCTTTAGTTATGCTTTCCATTTCCATCCATTCTTATAGTTTTAAGTATTTGGCATATTATTTGCTAACTGCACTGAGAAGATAAGCAGCTGGCTTATCTTTCGTGTTATCCTTTTGTGTATAGACATTATTGCTAGTTCTCAACCCTTTGTGATGTGACCGGTTTGATTGATGTGTCTAAATAAGGATACTAAAAATGGGAAAACTCATTTTCCTTATTTCAGGTAATATATAATCAAAACGCAAGGCCTTTCTGACCTAAGGATTGTATTAGTTTAACTACACCTCTTCAGGAGACGTGAGGCCTGCTGTTCACTTGACCAGAATTTGTATTAGTTTTGCTCAGTCTGCTCTATTGTCAGAATCTACAAACAAATCTGATTTTCTTTTCCTTTTAAGGAAGATTATATTGTTTTTTGAGATTCTATAGAACATGTACCTGGCCTTTTGGGAACCAGGGGTGGGGTGGGGAGAATTGTAGGAAATAAAATTCTTACTGTTCTTACTACTTATATCTTCTTACTATTCATATAACCACAGTATATTATAGTTTCCAAAAGCTTGCAACCAGAATATATACAAAATACATATATACCTTATTTGTCATATATTCTTAATACTGTTAAACATTTCCTCTGTTTTTTAGGTTGGATCAAATGTTTTCTGATGCTTTTAGCAAAGAACACCAGCTGTTACGCGCTGATCCAAGACATAATTTGTACGTTGCTTGCGCCCTCTTAGTCAGAGGAAACGTACAAGTTTCAGATCTTCGTAGAAATATTGAACGGTTTGTACTAAAATATATGTTCTCAAGAATTACTAATTGCTTTTTCAAAAGGCCAAAATACAGCATTTTTGAGATTAGTGTGATCTCTTCCTAATGCACAGGTACACTTATGTTGTAAATGATTATAGTGTTGAGAATACAGAAGCGTTTGGTAATTTAATCTTCCATTTTCTCTAACATAGAATTTTGATGTACATGTAATGTTCAGAAGCCCTGCGAGGCTGGCCAACTCAGAAAACAAGAATCACTTGGATTTCTAGAAAGATCTTTATTGCTAGGAATATGTAAGAATCATAAAGCCTACAGAGTCATTATTCTGTGGAACCTATACTTGCTGTATTAAGGCAGAACTATTATTTTTCTCATGTTTCCCCCACCAACCATCTCCCTGGACTCAAGAATCTCTTGTGACAAAGCTGTTTTCTCCCTTAAGAGTCTTATTGCGTCTTCTGTGTTCCCAAGATCTTTAGGCATCTTTAGACATCAGTTTGATACATGGTTTAGAAACTAGCACACAGAATGTAAAACTCCGATTTAGCATCAATTTTTGGCAAATGCTTTTGAATGCACTTCCATTAAAAGGATAGTTAGAATGTCTTTATTGCATACTAGTGCTGTGGACATCAGATTAAATATCACTGGAAATAGTTAGATCTGCCATTAACTTTGCTCTGTGTAATGGCATCTTCTCCAACCAGGCACCCTTGAGATATGCTAATCTAATCTTATTAATCATAATCTGACTTTATTGCCTGGAATTATAGTCCATTTAGGAAGCATAATGTAGCACTAATAATTGCTTGCTATTATTTCAGCCCTAATTTTCTGGTTGCAGGTTGAAGCCTTCACTTCAGTTTGTATCCTGGAATCAAGAAGGATGGAAAACTGGTTTGTGTTCAGTACCTCCAGTTGGCCATTCCCATTCTTTGTTGGCACTGGCAAATAACACCTGCATTAAACCAACTTTCATTGAACTCAAAGAGAGATTCATGAAGCTCTACAAGAAAAAGGTATACCCTAAAACAGTGGTGGCAAACCTATGGCACGGGTGCCAGAGGCGGCACTCGGAGCCCTCTCTGTGGGCACATGTGCTGTTGCTCCAGTCTTGCCTCCTCCTGTGACCCTCTCCTCACTAGCAGCCTTCTGGAGGAGCGTCGCCCCCAAGCATGGCCCACGCGGAGCAGCACAGCCAAGGACATGGCAGCCAGGCAGCGTAGACAAGACTCTGCCCTCACACCCCATCATGCACAGTTGATGCTGCGGGGTGTGGGCAGAGGGTGTGGCCGCCATGGCGCTGCTGGGCTGCCTAGGTGATCTGCGGTGGGCCCTTGAGGTAGTGAGTGGCCTTGTGGGCAGGCGGGGTGGGGGTGGAGTGGGGGCGGGGCAGGGGGTGGAGTGGGGCAGGGCCAATTTTTGGGCACTCCGTCTCTAAAAGGTTCGCCATTACTGCCCTAAAATGAGAAGTCACACAACTATTTTAATTACTTCATTTATACTTGTGTTATTCTCAGTATAAGGAAATGCTCTGTATCAAAAAATCATGTACCTATGTCAGCTGGCTTCCCTGTTTATAGACTGTAAGTAGGATTGTATTATATTTGAAGGTATATAAATGGCCAGTTGGCTGCAGTGCAAAGTTATATAATCAGAATGGGAGAGAAAGGGAACAAGAAAAAGACTGTGAGAGAGAGAGTGCAGGTGACAGATGATATCTAGATTTAAAAAAAAAACAAGCATAGATTTTCCACTATAAGTGGTCATTTGTTCTGTTACTTTTCAATTTTAGGAGAACAATTGCATTTATGTGAAATATTTATCCCAGTAAAGGATATGCTGCATAACTGAAGTTAATACTTGTTTCTGCAGGCTCACCTTCATCATTACCTACACGTTGATGGGATGGATCAGAACTGTTTCTCTGAAGCACTTTCATCGCTGTCAAACTTAATAGAGGACTATAATCAGCTTGAAGCTGCTAACAGTGGGCCTGCAGTAGATCCACCAAGATTGAAGATAGTGATGTAGCAATGCAGGGACATAGCAGGAAAAATTCAATTATTTGCAAAAAAATAAATAAATGTGCATGCAATCTAACCCACGGTGAACACCATTCAAGTTGGCTGAATTCAGTTGGATAAATTCTTAACAATTTGTGACAATCAGAATTACTGTTACTCCTGAAAGAAAGTGGAAATATTCAGTCTGCCCAACTGTTTCATAACGTATTTTTTTTATTTTGCACAGAGACTGTACTGAGATTGGATAATACAAATCTCAATGTACATATTGTGAAATGCACTTTTATCTCAAGGACTGTTAGTTTTGTATGTATATTTTTTGAAATAAATCATTTTGAATATAAATATTTCTCATGATTTTTATAATACCTTAAGTGTAAAATAATTCCTTGTTTTGAATTTGGAATTATTACCTGTGCAATATTTGCTGATTGTCCTATTGACCTATGAGGTTTACTGCAGACAGAAATCCCAATATGAAGTAAAACCTGTCTAGTTTAGAATCCAGTTCCCTATTTTAGATTTTATCAGTTACTCCAATTTAACTGAGGTTTAGGCACACACACTGCTAGTTTTATTGGATGTTATTCTAATTCAGAGCCAAGTGTGATGCAGTCTTTCAGAAGTCTGTGGCTTTGAATGAGATGCATTTTTCTATGGGTTCTTGAAAATGAAACACTGTCATAATTATTAATTATAATCATTATGCAGATCAGGATCTTTCCTGTTTCTTTTGATGGTTAGGTAGAAAGATTAACAAAAACAGCAGTTATAGAGCAAATCTTCAGGTTGAGAGTAAAATGAAATTCTATACACAGTCTCTATTTCTACAAAAATATATGTACAGTATTGCTAGTTTTGCTATGCTGTTGACTGAGATTTGGGGAGTTACTGCTAAATGCAAACTAAATTATATGGGCATGTTGAGTTATGAAAGGTGGACATTTTGAATCATATTATGATGCGTAGATATTTTGAAAAAGATACCTACCAACTCCAGAAAGAGAATTTTTGAAAGTTATAACAAGCAAGCCATATCTATAACATAAAATGGGTCATTCCGTGTGCATGAAGATGTTTTTCTCAAGTATATAACCAGGTTGAAGTAAATCTGTTTTATTATATTCAGGAATTGTGTTGAAATCACACCAATTGAAATCAACACATTAATCATTTGCTTCTTGCTCAGAGTGACTATAATACTGCAAATAAGTGTTTTTTTCTCATATAGTTCCTTTTTATTCTTAGGGTTTAAAGGCATTCAAAACTTTAAAAATAATCCTTTTGGTTAATATTTTATATACTGGGTAGTGAATTGCATTCAGTATGGACGTGGCCACCTTTTTCATGGCAAAAAAAAAGGAGGGGGTATTTTCTTTCCACACATTTCTTATAAAAGCCTGAGTTCAGAAAACAAGTCTCCTGGATCATCACATATCTTTTGACAAACACAAGATGTAATCCACATCATCTTCCACTTGATGGATGCTTCCTCAGGGCAATCAAACTGTACTGTAATCATTACAGACTTATTGGGTATGCAGCATCTCTTATCCAGGCAGATTCCACAAAACACAGGTTTGTATATTTGTCTACTTGTGCATCCAGAGAAGACTAGTTTCTCAGCTTTAGCGAGCTGAAAGGTGGGCCGACACGTTTTTCCTTTTGGAATCTCAAAAATATACACAGAAAACATAGAAAATTATGGTCAATATGCATACTGTATTACATAGTAAAATTTAGGGCAGCTTTTTAAATGCCCTTATGTAATTTGGTCAAGTAAATTTATTGTGTGTGTGTGTGTGTGTATTTTCTGAGGTTTTCGCGGGTGTATGTAGGTCTTTGGTTATTCGGGTTTTCTCCCGCGTAAAATTGGAAGTGTCTTGGCGATGTTTCGACGAAGTCCCATTCATCTTCAGGCTGGTGTTTTCAGCTTCGTGCTTCGAGGAGCAATGTTGCTCCTCGAAGCAACATTCGAGGAGCAATGTTGCAGCCTGAAGATGACGAATGGGACTTCGTCAAAACGTCGCCAAGACATTTGAGTTAGCCATGATGGCTAAGGTTCCTCCCCTCTCTGTTCGAGCAGGATGGGCTGCCAGCATAAGAACTCAATGCAACCGATGTAAAATGCCTACCCCCTCCATCAGCAATCACTAAAACAGACAGAAGGCAACAAATCCTTAATTAAAAGTAATTGGTAGATATAAAAGCAATGTAGGAAAAGGCCCACAGAACTAAAATGACTGAGCTATTAATCCTGACTCCTGTTCCTCAACCCTACTATTTCCTAGCCCATAACTCAACTAAAGGGCAAAATGATAGCTCTGCACAATCATCCATGCACTATGTTTCTTTTTAAATCTGTATTCATTAAGCATTTGTTTTCTGAGTAAAGAGGCAGTTTGGGCCTTACAATTTACCTTCAGAATCTTTGTAAAATTTGCTTGACAGGGTTGAATATAACACAGTCTCTTTTCCTTCCTCATTTCACATTTACTGTTTCCGTTGGTCACCCTGTCAGAGATGCCAATACCACAAGTTCGGGAACAAGGTGTCCATGGAGTTGTTTGTATGAGGCATTTCTTTTTCAAAACAAGAGGAACATTTCTGAAAGCTAAAAGGCAGAACTATTTTTTTTTTTACATTTTAAACTAAAGGCTAAAAATATTGAATGATACCTCAGCACGTAAACCATAATAGGATAAGATAAAATATGGCAAAAATGATTTTAAAAATGGCACTATATTTAAGTCAGGGGTCTTTAAACTTGGCCCTTTTATGACTTGTGGACTTCAACTCCCAGAATTCCTTAGCCAGCATGGCTAGCTGAGGAATTCTGGGAATTGAAGTTCACAAGTCATAAAAGGGCCAAGTTTAAAGACCCCTGATTTAAGTTCATGAGCTTAAGGGTTGTTTTTTGTTTTTTGCAGAATTGGCCAATGGATGTGTGCCTCTTCAAATTTTCATGACATTTCACAGAACTTTGGTACCTCTTACTCTTGAACTTAATTCTATATGAATTTGATTTTCTTCAAGAGGAATGACCTTAAAGATTTTGAGTACTAATGGTTCTCTGTATTAAACTGTTTTTTTTTTAAGTCTCCATTAGCAAATCCTGATGGGAGTTTCAGAGGATGATTGATGAGACATAAACAATGCACAGCTCAAGGGACAAAGCAGAAGAGCCAGGATACCTGGGAAGTAAACAGCAGCTTAAAATCTCAGTGCAGGAAGCAAAGTAAAAACTGTCACAGATCTGAAATAAATAAAGCAAGGTTACAAAGCAGCATATTTTAACAGATAGTGTATTTAGATTTATTGTATGCAACGTAATTGCATTGCCTTTTCTACAGGGACTTGTTAACTAGGACAGTAAATTAAAAAAAGCAAGAAAGACAGTGGACATTCCAATAAAGCTTTGCATTTGGCAAAATAAACGACTGTGAAAACAACTATTTATAAGGCTGCGTGCAAACCATGTATTAATAGCATAAAACTGGTCAGCTGCTTGGTTTTTAGAATTTGAGGCAGCGTTTCCACAATTGCTTATTTATCCTAATGTGTCAGGTGTGAGAAAAGGATTGGTATCCTTGAACCCCAAATTTAAAAAATGGAGCTTCCCAGCAAGCTTGAAACAGGCATCAGCTTTTCTGGCCCTGAGTTTGACATCATGCAGTAGGTCAGGCATTTCTTCCTCCCCTGCCCTCACAAAGAAAGCCAATCCCTCAAGGTAAACGTTTCACATGAAATTGCAGAAATCACACAAGATCTCATGATAATGCCAGACTATCCTGAAACTTTAGCAGCCATGTGCATGATTTTGAATGGATTCTAATTTACTGGGGAAGTAGAATATTCTTGGATATCTGGCAGATGTGGAGAGGCCAGCCCTGTTCTCAGATCTTGTTGCTTTTTGGTAAAAAAAAAAAAAAAAAAGCAGCCCTATGGCGAGATAGATGGCAACTAAATTTAACAAAATATTTATTATTAGCTTTTTTTAAAATTAATAAGACACGTCTTCTGTTCTTTTTTTTTTTAACAGCAATAATATTTCATTGGTCCAACCTTGTATACCTGACATTATTCGGTAATGTCTTGTTCGCCGTTCTTCCAAATGCCCTAAAGCACAGTTGGAATATCCATCCTTCTTTTTGTCCTTGTGCAATGCACAATTATTTGATGCTGACTTCTGGATGAATACCGGTGTGCATCCAATGGCACCATTCACACACAGGCACGAAAACAGAGGAGAAGGCTGGAAAGATTGGCCATTGGTATAGTACATACCGTTTAGCTCACAGCCAACGGCTATCATATCTTGAAATAGCAAAACAAAATGAATAAATGTCAGGGAAATCAATTAAATATAAATATTGCATATGGAGAATGCTGGTGATATGTTTGAAGTTACCTATCAAGGAAATGGATGGGATATAAATTTAATAAATAATGAAGCAGGTAATTAGTATTAAAGAATGTTTCATTCAAAACACTTTGCATGCACATAAAAACACATGCATGTTTATTAAGATTAGTTCTTCAGTATTTTCCATAGACCAAAAAAACAGGATCTAATATCTCCATTATCTCAGCTTTTTAATCCTAAAAATCCTTTTTAAAGGGGAAATCTATTTAGTTAGCTTTGGAAAGCTTTGGTGGGACTAGATTCCTAACAATTAAGAAAGTTCCAGTTCAAAAATTCACTTGTTCAATTAATTTTCAGTGTCATTAACAGCTAAATAATATGTTCTGTTATTTCAGAGAGTGATACAAGCCACTGTTTCAGAGTATGCTCCCTTATCTCTGTTTTGGAATTAAAATAGCAGGGTACAGAACGTGGGTCAGTTGGGGAGCCCTTTCTTTGCGGCCCTGCTGTCCCTTGATAAGAAATAGAAAAGAAAACAGTGAAGACTTACATGCACATATTCCTCTTTCATACCTAGGCTTATCTGCAGAGTAATCACAGTAGAGTCCCTTGTGATGGTCACAGACCTCTGCTTCATTACAGGTGGTGTTTACTTGTTTGGCACACATCCAGCAACATCCACACCCATCTCTCACCAGGCTCACCCCAGGACTGCAGCTTGGCACAGGTGGGCATCTGCAGGGCCAGTGACATAACTCTTGGCGCTGATGCAGTTCACTGTTGGCTGCACTTTCTCCAGTCTTTCCTTGATGTTGCCTTTGGCCTGATGCCCTGAAAGAAAGCTTTCATACAGGTGGACTCATCTGAGAGCTGGAAAGCTTGCAATGACATATTATGTCTTATTTTTTTTCCAAGTGCAACAAAATCCTGAATATTAATAACCTTTTATTACAAGAGAGTGGGACACTCTACAACCTGTACAATTATTCTTCCACCTCAATGACTCCTAAAACACAAAATAGCATAATGCATACAGGTCTATTTAGGAGTCCTAAAAGTAATGCCTAATGTGTTTCCCTATAGCTTGATCTCATGAGCCATTGAAGATTCAGGACCAAAGCAAGAGGACAATATCTATCATCTATCTTCCTTGGCTAAACAAAGACAACCATTAGCCTTGCCACAGAAAAAGACATTTCCTCTTATATTTCTGAAGCACAAGACCAGGGGTCTTCAAACTTGGCCCTTTTATGACTTGTTGACTTCAATTCCCACTATTCCTCAGCCAGGAATTATGACATAAAAGTCATAAACGGGCCAAATTTGAAGACCCCTGCACAAGACTATCAACCAAATGACAAACACCCCCTACTAAGGCTATCAAGGCAAATGAGGCCAAATAGGACATCTGTGTCACATCTTGATCTAAGCATGACATTTCTTGGCATGCAGGCATAGTGAAAACTTATTTAACTGGACTGCAATTGACTTACATATCTGTGTATTAATCTCAAAGTCAAGTGTGCTTGGTTCAGCAATACATGCATTAAGAATCCAGATGGAAGGAGACTTTGTCTGGAGTTGCATTGCAGTGGAATGACTCCATATCACTCAGGGCACACAGGCAGGTCAAGACAATTACCTCAGGAAACAGATTCATTACTATATTTCTCTGCCAATTGGGGTAAATGACCAAAACAACTTGATTGGCCTTGAGAATATATACCTATGTGGATCAGGGCAGTTCATGGAGGAGGCTGTTGATGCTGCAAAATATTTTCACCCAGTTTTACTCTCCGTCCACATGGAAAACACAGACCAGCAAATGTGTCCTTATTTCAGACAGATACATTTATACTTAAGGACGTTTCCTAGACATTTTCTTCTCTGATTCAATACATTACAGATGAATTTAACTCCAGCTCCTATCACCCCAAATTTGGATTGCACCTTAACATCAAGAAAACAAAGATAACAACAACTGCAGAGAACACACAGGTCAGAGTACAGATCAACAATGATACTATCAAAACAGTAAAGGAATTCATCTTCCTGGGCTCTAAAATCGACCAAAGTGATGAGTGCAGCTCTGAGATCAGAAGGTGCATGGCACTTGAAAGATTAGTTAACACAATAATTTTTCCAATTGCTACTTATGGCTGCAAAACCTGGGCTCTGAAAAAGGCAGATAGGAGAAGGGTGGATGCCTTTGAATTGTGATGCTGGAGGCAACTATTACACACCTTGTGGACTGCAAAAATAACAAACAAAATGCTAGGCCAAATCTCCCCAAAAATATCACTTGAAGCCAAGACCCCCAATGTCATACTTCAATCACGTCATGAGAGCTGACTCACTCGAAAAGTCAATCATGCTGGGCAGGATCAGACGAAAAAGAAAGGGCTACTGTATTAGCTGATGACAGCTGATGACTGGACACTATGAAGGATGACATTGAGATGACTATGGCGGATCTGAAGGAAGTGGTGCGAGAAAGAGGTGCATGGAGAGTGTTGGTCTATAGCAGGGGTGTCAAATTGCCAGCCCGCAGGCCAGATGCATCATCCGGAAGCCACGCCCACCCCATTGCTGGCAATGGCAAAACCGTCCCGATACGTTGCGCGATGTCACGTGACATTGTGAGTTTGACATGTCTGGTCTATAGAGTGATTGAGGGTCAGATATGATTAAATGGCTGACAATGATGCCTCTCTCCCCCAATCAGCAGAGCCAGTGGGTATGCTAACCAAAAATGATTGCAGTAGCAGGACAAAAAAAGTACCAAATTAAGATATTCTGGAACAAAGAACATTTGCTTTCCCACAGAGACTTCCCATACTACTTTTCATTTAGAGAAGGTTCATATAGCACTCTAATCCATACTATAATTTGGCTTAGCTTGTTGTGTGCACCAATCATTGTAATTTGTAAAACAATATAGTTTGGTGCTATTTGTAAATCTTCCCATCTGGAGTTTATTCAACAAAGCACAACACTTTTATAGGGTAATATCCTTGGTAACAGCATTCTCCAACCTGGACTCCAGTTGGAAATTCTTTGAATTGCAGTGCCAAATTATCACAGAGCACTAGATTCTGTACTTAAATTAAAATAAAACAAAAGCTAGCTCCATTCTTCAATTGCGGTGTTTTGCTTCCCTTGAGGTAATCAGACATGTTTTCTGCTCATTGAAAATGTTTATGCCCCTAATTTTAATGATCTTTATCATTTTATTTTTAAAAAATTATAATTTTAATAATGCCTTGTGTTGTCATTCAGGAAGCTGAAGGTCTTACTTGAGATGCTAACTTGGAGGCATAATGGACTTGTATATTTCATGCAAGCCAAATGTTTGAGAATATCTAAAATCATTTTTTCCTTTTTATTTCTTTTTTGTATTTAATTCCATACACTATAACAACTCTTCTTTCAGCTCTAGTTCTGATTTGGTTAATCAGCCAGAAGTCAATATTTCAAAAGTCCTTTTCAGAATTTAAAAAAAAAAACTAACAGGAGTTGAGCAATCAATTAGAAATAAAATTAAAAAGCAATAAAATAAAATAAAATAGGCTACCAGATCTGAGCTGCAAAAATCCAGAGAACCACCAGATGGCAGCAAAGCAACATACAAAATACTACCTTGCCCAGATTTTTGCAGCCCTGATCTGGTATGTGTTGAATATGCAATCAATAAATTCAGGTAAACCTTTAATCCGTCCTACTGTAGACTCTAGCGTGGATCCGGATTACTTATGTCCTACACTTTGAAATGAAAGGGATTTGAGTCATTTTGAAATATTCACACCAATTTAAGTAGGACTTTCATTCTATTAAGATAACAAAGAGCCAATTTGCAATTAATATCATATGACATAATCCTATTACACTGGATCCATGCAAAAGAATAGCTTAATTTATCTTAATTAAATTATAGCATGATTTAGGAAGCATATTTTCACCATAAAAACAGATAAACAATTTGAGTTTTGAAGAGTACATTAAAATTATCCCTTAATAACCCATATGCTTAACAGATCAACAGATCAGATCACCTTAAAAATTTTAGATGTCCCCCATTTTATCCCTTACAGTAATCTGCCTTTTTATCATTTGAATGTTCTACAATATATTCCTAGTTTGGTCTTCTTGTGTTCACATTATAAGAATTAACACTTCAGCTTTCTCAATTAACTTCATAGGGCAAAAATTAAAATAGAAGCACTTTATAGGAATTTCATGAGGAAAAAATGTTATTAAGCAAAATGCCTCTTCTGTAAATCCATAGTAAAAAATGAGAGAATTAACTGTTTTATAAAGTCTGTTTCTGATAAGTTTGGATAATTCTTAGTGGTCATGCAAAGATGTAGTTGAAGTGAAAGCAGCTCTATAACATTCTGTATCTTTAAAACATGAATAATTTGTGCTATAAATTACAATAGGATCTTAAACAAAGGAGCCAACAGCTTATACTGTGGTGGTTATTTATACTTATAAACACATATATTTTATACACAAATTGAAAGCTTGGGGGGGGGAAGGATTTCAATCAAGAAATTGTGATAAAAAATGTGACTTCAAACAGGCAACTAATGCAAACAATTAGAAGCAATTGATTATTATGCTCTACCCTTTTCTCTAAGTAAGATTTGCTTGTTCGGATACAGATCAGCCTTTGATATGACAAGGTCATCTTTCTAGAGAGTTCACTTACCTGCTGAATATAAGGGATTGTAAGAAGGGTGGAGATGAGGACCCACTGCATTTTCTTGGGATGGCAGAAATGAAAAGCAGAGAGTGAGCGAACAGGCTGAGCTGTGCAGGAGCCCAGGCTGTTGACAAAGTGTCCTCTGTCTACTCTGCCAGGTTCCTCTCTTCGGCACGTTGACAAAGACCCACAGATTCATATTTGGAATCCTCCACCGAGATGAAGCTTTGCCCTCACTCTGTCAAGTAGTTCTTTCTTTCTTCTGGAGCACCGTCTCTTCCATAGGATGGTTTGGTCACAATGACTTTTCGGAAGGTCTTTTATTTGAAAGGCTTCTTCCTCATCTGAGAACATTTTTGGAGCCTGAAGTATATTCCATGATTTTACAATTTAGATCCAGCAGATGCTGAGGGTGAACTCTTGTTTGCCCGTTTCTGGTATATACCCTAGAAAGCATGGGTTTACATTTACGTTTGTTTATTTATTTATTTATTTAAATGTTTATAGATCCATGAGAATATCAGTATTGGGATGTAGCAATATTAACAAATGTCCAGTTCCTAGAAAATGAATACAAGCAAGTTAAGCAGATATAATTAAATACAGTATGGTAGCAGACAATCTCCATTTGACAAACCAATTAGAGGTGTCTCTGTTTAACCTTTCCCCAACTTATCTAGTAGACTGCCAACATGACTTTGTCCCAGCAAACATGTTTATGAATTTCATATTAAGGAGTAATCTTCTGTCAGGGGTAAAGTCTGTCTCCTAGACAGACCTGTGGGTCGGGACCCCATCTGGGGTCGAACGACCATTTCACGGGGGTCGCCAAACCACGTTGTCCGCCATTTTTTTCCCTTTTCCCTAGCTGACCTACTCCCTCTTATTGGTGGCCACACCCACTTGGGGGTCACCACAACATGGGGAACTGTATTATGGGGTCACGGCATTAGAAAGGTTGAGAACCACTGTCCTAGAGTGTGTATCAGGAAGTTTCCTGTTAGGGCTTTTATTATGAAAAGATGTGAATATTTCATTATAATTCAAGTTCCATTGATTTCAAAGCATAGGACATAAATATAATTCAAATAAACTCTAGATAGATCCCTGGGGACAGTGAATTTGAGATTTTTATTACTCCCATAAATATTCTGGGCAGGGAGGGGAACAGATGCTAGCCAGTGTAAGCAAGGATAATATCCATCCTTATCCACACACACACACACACACACACACATACACAATGAAGGCAGGAGGAAGCTAGACGTCATGACATGGCTGAGATATCTTTTGCTCTTTTCATTTACAATGCAAAATTGTTTACAGCAGCAGTCAAGTGTTTTTTTGTTTTTTTTTTTGGCAGATATTTTCTCTTTTAGCATTTCCTGAACTGGGTGACCATGCAACATTTAATACTACTTCCCAAAATTATACAAATGTGCAAACACTGTAGGGATTAATTCAGCCATTTTCATGCCATGTAAAAGATCTATGGTTGTTGTTAAGTCCTGGGAGCGATGGCGAATGAAGACAAGATGGCAACATTTCTAGGCACTTTTCGCGCCTTGCGCATGCACGCTCGGCCGGCGCCACTCAGTCTGGTCCCGGGCAGTTTCTGCAATTGCCCGGGAGCCTTGCAATGTCCCGAGCCTGCATTTGCAGGCTCAGGACACAACAGTTGTGATCTTCGCTGATTTGCCATAGTTGGTCTTATAGCTCTCTAGCTCTGCAAGATAGTAATATCAACATTACCAGTTGTTTAAGTTTCACGGGCTGGAGGGAGCGCCGGATGACTGGAGATGAAGGAGAGGATTGGAGCTGTTCCACGGCCCCAGGACAATATACGTTAGATGTTCTTAGGGAACAATTCGGGGAACGTATATATCCCAATACCATCCGCAGCCCCGTTAAGGACAGCCCAACTTATATGTCCCATTTCCAAATGTCAAGCCCGGAGTTTAAATTGCAGCCTGACAGTCGCTTCACCCCACGGGACCCAGTAGCAAGGCAAACCGGGGCAGAGCGCCCACGGTATGGACTGAGTACACGGGGAGTGCGGGATCACCCGGAGGGTCCTGAGAGAGACGTGGAGGGACCCCTGGGAGTAGGACCCCGTCCTGTGGCACGTCCAGAGGCGGTCCCGTATGGCGGACAGGGGCCAGCCCCATGGCCTCAGAATATGGTTTGGAATCCTCCTCCAATTGCGCTCACATTTGACGGAGATCCGGATCGCCTAGCGGTATTTCTCAGCCACGTACTTAACCATCTAGACCGTTATACAACCCTGTACTCATCCAATTGGGCGATGGTGGTGGCGGTCACGGCTAGTTTGCAAGGGGAGGCTGCCGCTTGGGCTGCAGACCTCTATAGTGCCCAGGCTAGAGAGTTAGCCGACGTAGGCCTTTTCCTCGATGCACTGAAAACGAGGTTTGAGGACCCAACACGCCTACAACGGGCGGAGGCCCAGTTAGTGAATTTGCGGCAAAGGGGCAGGCCAGTGCAGGAATACATTCGTGAGTTTCAAAAGGTGGCAGGGAAACTTAGATCGTGGCCAGACAGCTTGTTAATTCACCACTTCCGCAACGGTCTGGATACCAACATACGTCAGGCATGTATAATCAGGGGAGTGGTAGGACGCCTGGCTGATTGGTTTCGGGCAGCAGTAGAGTTGGACATCGGGTTGAGGGATCGTCCAGGAGGACGGGAGGATAGACCCCGTAGGAATCAGGATCAACCTGTAGGTGGTCCCACGCAAACCATGCAGGGTACGGTACATCCAAGACCCATTTTCAAATGCTTCCGCTGCAACCGACCAGGCCATAGGGCCGCGGAATGTGGAATCCCCGAGCCAATAGGTACACCAACGGCGATCGGCAAACCAGGCGCTACGCCAAAGAGAACAGTGGAGAAGTCAAGGGTCGCTTACCAACTGGGTCAGACTCCCATCCAACAACCCCTCGATGATGCGTCCCCCGGATTACAGGAACATGAGGAGGAAGGACCGGTGGAGGACCCAATGGTGAGTGAACCCATCGTACCATTCACCATTCCGATCACGTTGACAAGCCCGGTTACTGGTGAGTCGAAACCCCTTCAGGCATTACTAGATACAGGATGTACTAGGTGCCTAATCAGTAAGGGGGTGGTGCAACAGATGCAGCTCAGGGTGGCTCGACTAAAGTCTCCAATTCGATTTGAGCAGGTGGACGGTTCTTTGTTAGGAGGGGCTCCGACCACCTTGGTGACAGAGCCTGTCAGAATGGATATAGGGGGACATTGGGAAACTATAAGATTTATAGTCGTTCAAACTATGTCCGAGTCAGTTATTCTTGGATTGGCGTGGATGGACAAATGGACACCAACTATCTGGTGGGCGGATGGCTCTCGACATCTAAGGATTGGGGTGGGGCCCCACCCACGGGCCATGAAAGACCCAGATAGGAATGGGAAGTTGAACACCTCAAAACCAGTGCAGGAGAGGGGTGAGGTCAACTATCCGCAGGTGTATAACGACCTTGCGGCGGTATTCAGCGAGCAGGAGTGTGACAGTCTGCTGCCTCACTGACCGACAGATTGTGCCATCGAACTTGTTCCTGGCGCTAAACTACCCAAGCCCAGGATGTATCCCATGACATTCGCTGAGTTGCAGGAAATGAGGAGGTACATCGATAAAAACTTGGCTAGGGGTTTTATAGAGCCAGCGCGTTCGAAGATAGCAGCCCCTGTCATATTCCAAGGGACAAAGGACGGAGGGTTACGATTATGTGTAGATTTTCGAGGTCTGAACGCTGTGTGTATAGAACCAGTATACCCCCTACCACTTATGAAAGACCTCCTTACCCATTTAACGGCCGGAAAGATCTTTACAAAACTAGATCTCCGTGAAGCATACTATAGGGTAAGAATCAGAGAAGGGGATGAGTGGAAAACAGCATTTAACTGTCCACTAGGCAGCTATCAATTCAAGGTGATGCCGTTTGGATTACAAGGAGCACCAGCCGTATTTATGCAGCTGATCAACGAAGTGTTGCATGACCACCTGTATAGAGGCGTTCTTGTATATCTTGATGACATACTAATATATTCACAGACGTTAGAGGACCATGTGCAATTGGTACGGACGGTATTAAAAAAATTACTGGATGCTAACCTATACTGTAAACTATCAAAATGTGAGTTCCACAAGGATCGCATTGATTATTTAGGGTTTAGGGTTTCAGCAACGGGGATAGAAATGGACCCGAGTAAGGTGCGCAGTGTATTGGAATGGCAGGCCCCAAGAACCCGTCGTCAACTTCAGAGGTTCTTGGGGTTTGCCAATTTCTACCGACAATTCATCCCCTCATTCGCTGACGTGGCCCTACCATTAACTCAATTATTACGCACCAAAAATGCCACCGCAAAACCCCGACCGAAACAATCTTTAGATTGGACTGTGGACTGTCAACATGCCTTTGAATCTCTAAAAAGGCTATTTGCGAAAGAGCCGGTGTTGATACATCCTGACCCGGGTAAGCCGTTCGTAGTACAGACAGACGCCAGTGATGTGGCCGTCAGAGCACTCCTGATGCAACGTAATGTACAAGGTAAACTACAACCGTGCGCATATACCTCCAAAAAGTTTACCGACACAGAACGACGGTGGGCGGTGTGGGAAAAGGAGGCATTTGCGGTGAAATGGGCACTGTCCACCTGGCGCCATTTGTTGGAGGGTGCACAGTTCCCCTTCGAGGTATGGACGGACCACCAGAACTTAGCGGTCCTCCAAACTCCACGGAAATTAGCGCGAAAACACGTTCGATGGGCGCAGTATTTCCAACGTTTTAAGTTCCACCTGAAGGTCGTACCGGGAGGGAAGAACTTCTTAGCAGATGCACTTTCCCGACTACCACAGTACGACAGTAAAAGGGAACAGGTGGTTCAGGCTATCCTACCTTCGGACAATATAAGTTCCCCACAGATGGATGAGTGTGCAAAATTAGTAACATTTGAGGAGGAATTAAAATCCGTGTTGTTGACTGATCCGTGGATACTGGCAAATCCAGGACTGTTGACCCATCGTAATGGATTGGCTTGGTATGGGAATAAGTTGTATGTTCCCCAAGACTTGAGGAATCGGGTATACCACCAATGCCACGACTCTAAAGTGGCGGGCCATTTTGGCTTCGTGAAAACGCTACATTTGGCGAGGCGCCAGTTCTGGTGGCCGAGCTTGAGGAAGGACATTGAACGGTATGTCAAGGAATGTCATGTTTGTGCACAGGCGAAAGTAGTACCAAAAAGACCGATGGGATTGTTACAAACAGTATCTGACCCAATTCGACCCTGGCAG